CCTTCTATGTCTGTCTGCCTTGAGGTCGAAGGTCAGGGTTCGTTGTCTGCTGAGGCTAATGTGGAAGCCTTGAAATAAACAGTATGCTTGACTGCTTAGCCTCTATAATGGCTCGCTGCAAAACGAACGCCGAACACTATTTTCGCTTCTTACCTTTTTTCGTAAAAGCAAAACTCCTCGTATTTCTTTTGGTTAGCGAAAACGGGTACTCATGTAGGTCTTTTGTAAAAGTGAAGTGGCATAAAGCAAACTTTCAGATACTGGGGGCAACCTGTGATTCAAACTCTGCTGGAGCAGAGAGGCCCTTGATCTCTGCTGTGTTCACTGTTCCTCCCTCCTTTCCTCGTGTACAGAAAGAAAGGCACTGTTTGTCCTCCGTGCTGTGGCTTGGTAGTGGCTGGCCGTGAACACAGATGGATTCGTTCTTGGACTGAGGATTCTCTGGACTTGAGGCCACCTCACCAATTATCTCAAAGCCTCTTCCATCTCTTTATACCCTTTCCTTCTCGGCTGTCCCTCTCCCCTAAATAAGAAAAACCAGTCAATGTCATGTTACTTTGATTTTAAAACTGCAAGGTGCTCTGATGTGAAGAAAAGGTTCAAATAAAACCATGACAATTGATCTTACTACAAAAAAAGATTTAGAAAATCCCTCTGCAGAGAACTGGGTGCCAGATTTCTACCGTGTGATAATCACCAGTTCCAGCGAGATCACCAAAGGAAGTCTTTTCATTTGAAATGCTTAGATGTAAACATTTTAAGTGTTTTATACTTTTTCTGAACCCGGTAAAACTGGTTTATATGTCTAGGTTGTTGGGTTTTACTCACTTTTCATTGATAGTATAGCTAGTTATTTTAGAAGGAAATCAATATAATACCTTGCATTTCATGTAACAAGATAAATCTTATTATCCTCATTTTGTACATGACAATTCCCAATGTAAAGGGTTATAGGTCACTGAACTCGGGTTACAGATGGGAAGGCCGAAAGGAACTGACTCACCAACTACAAAATCAAAAGGAAGAACAAGAATCTAGTTACATGCTCTGATGTAATTTATGAATACATGCACAAGACCTATGTCCCAGAGTGGGTTGGTCAGCAGTCACAATATTCATACTGGCATGACAGGACTGCATTTTTGTTTCATTAATGTTTATTCTGTGAGGATACCTAATTTTTTTTATGGCTCTTACTCACTCTGGTCAAGTTTACTTGACATGGCAAGGGAGCCTAGATTTTAGATCTGTGCTTCTCAAACTATCTGTGAGGAAGGACCAATTTTACCCCCTCATCAGTCTTCAGCCATCATTTAAGTTAAATGAAATAAAAATAAATTGCTAAAGAAGAAATTATCATGCCCTTAGTTGTTACAGCAGTGTCAAATTGTCCTGAAGGTTTTACAAATGGTCACTCCCAATTACTTGTAGACTGGTTTAAAAAAGCCCTGAGACTAAGGTCTGAGGTCCTTTCTGAATAGCGTATAAACCACTCATGGAAATTCTTGCCTTAACAGAGGAATCTTCAGCCACTGCTTGAGGATCACTCCACCAGCCCATGCTTATTTCTGTCACAGAGATCTTCAGGAAAAAGGAACCCGGGCCTCCCCTTTTTCCCTTTGATTGTTTCTAACTCCCTTCAACCACTTTATCCAAGGATATGCTAATACTGGTAGCCTTTCCTAGCACTGAGCTTGCAAATTTATTACGTAGCATGAGAAAGTCAACTTTGGTTCTTGCTGCAGTTTCTCTGTTTATGAATGTGATGGTATTAGACAATCTTGATCAAATATGAACGATGGCTGCTTTGGAAAGAACTTCTGTGGCACTTCATGCTGCCTGGATTCAGAGGGTGCCCTGTCAGGGGGATTCCAGTTTGAGTATGTAATGTTGATATTTGTCTTGCTCCCAGGCACGTTTGTTTGCAAAGATGTTATATGGTTCTTCTATGTAAGTATAAATTGCTGCTTCTGTTACTACGATAAATGCAGCTTCTCTTTATGATTCAGGCTCCCCCAAAGTTCTAAATCTTGCTTACCTGGACCTCTTCCACCAGAAGTAAGTGGGTTAACGTAACAGTCTCCATTTCGGCGGAGACAGCTACTCAGGACTGAGAGTCTGAAAGGCAGTGGTTTTAGAAATAGCAGCAGGCATTGTGGCGGGCCAGGAGAAAAGAGAAACCATATGGGACTGCTGTGTACTGTGGGGAGAGAGAAGACAGGGGCGGGTGGAAAGGAGATGCCTCAGGTGGGTTTGATCAGTTGCTATGGTTTCTAAGGCCTATCTTAATACCAGGGGCTGCCAGCTGTGTAAGAACATTATCGACATGCAGATTTAGGTGCAGGGTACCTGGGAATAACCTGAGGAAGAAATGACTGTTTACTGCTCAGGTTGGGTTTCAGCCTGAGAAATGATCCATACTGAAAGGCTCCCTAACAGAACAATCAAGAGAGTAGAATTGAAGGTAAAAGAAGAATGGTGTAGAAGACGACATTACAGAGACCAGCCTTGTTCAGGTCTAGTCCCACTCCTTTTCTCACAAACTCAATGTGCCCACCTGGGAAATGGCATCATGGATGACAGTCACTACGCTCCTTGAACTTGGAATCAGAATTTCTGTGTTCGAGTCCTGGACCCCAAGTTAGCATCTTGGCAACCTTAATAAGCCATCTCACCTTTCTTCACCTCTGGTTTCTCATCTGTGAAACATTTGCTGAGCTCTGGAAGCTATTATGAGGTTCAAATGAGATAATCTATACAAAATCACAATTTATTTCTCTATTTACGTACACCACCAACACTCCCCCTTGCTTCCCCTATTCCACAAAAGGATGTAAGGGAGACCAATTGCTATGAGTGATACTTTTTAAAGATGGCTATCCAGCGTCATCCAGAGTCACCATGTACACACATTATTATATGACTATTCTGAGCAGATAGTTGCGTGAGAGTGTTGATCTGAAGGCTAATTTTATCAACAAGATGAGAGAGGGACATCTGTGTTTGATAATTCATGTAGGAATTGACACCCCCATGAACACACCCACACATATACTCTGTGTAAAATGATAGACTTCTAGGAGTGAGTCTTATAAGGAAGAGCACGTAACTGTTAGAGCTGCTTTCTTTTAAGAAGTAATTTAAACAAATGGCAAGTATCTCCTTAAAGTCAAACCAGTTGTCATGATTCAGACCATACAATTGTGGTCCAGAGAGAATTTTATATCGCAAGGCTGAGTAGAACTATCTACAAGAGAGAATTTTCCGTTGCAAAAATAGTGTAGTTCCCTTTATTCTGCTTCCCCTAATAAAACATTCTACATAAGCCTAGTACAATTATTGAAACCAAGAAATTAAGATCGATACCCACTATTAACTAATCTAGAGAATTTATTCAAATTTTGCCAATTTTCCCACTAATGCCCTTTTCCTGCTCTAGGCTCTGTAGAAGCTCACATTACGTTTATTTGTCCTGTCTTCCTAGTCCCCTCCAATCTGTAACTGGTCTTTGGCCTTTTTTGTTCTTGTTGTTAATCTTTTCTGACCTTTACATTTTGAAGAGTACTAGCCACTATTTTGTAGAATGCCCTTCAATTTTGGTTTTTCTGATGTTTTCTCATGATTAGATTGAGGTTATAATTTTTCAGCAAAAATACCACAAAAGGGATAATGTGCCCTTCTCAGTGTATGTATTAGGAGGCACATGATGATACTTGTCACTGGTGATGTTAACTTTGATCACTTGGTTTAGGTGGTGTCTGCTAGGTTTCTCCATTGTAAAGTTATGTTTCTTCTCTTTGTAATAAAATAAGTATCTTATTTTGTTTTTTTCAGAAGATTTTATGTTTTCTTAAATTGAGAGTCAGGGTTGGGGCAAGTGTTGTTCACAGAGGGTACAGAGTGTCTTGTCCTGATGGAAAGAAGCTGTGCCCTCAAAAACGATGGAGTCGTTATTTAAGGGTTTGAATAGATGTCTCACAATCTATGCTGAAATGGATTGTCTGACATTACATTGCAGGATTTTTAAGTCCTACCTCCAGGCAAATCTCATGGTTCCTAGCAAAAATGAAAGTGTGAAATGCTTTTTAATGTATATTTAACAACACATAGTCTGGTGATTACTGATGTGTATTCTCTGTGGATTCTCTTTGCTATCAGAGGAGGATGTTAAGAGACAACATTTTTACACATTTATTCTATCTAAATCCATCACATGTTTACTTTCTAAATATCTGTAACTGTCGTTTATAACAAGATCATAAAAACTCAAATACTTTAAGTCTAACTCAAACGTGGAGTTATAGGATTACAATCAATTTCCAGGGAAAGCACAATTACTGTTTCTCCTTGCTCTACCTTATGAAATTGCCTGCTATTAAATGACGCTAAAATATAGTCATTTAAAAAAGAAAAAAATATGGTTTAGTAATGGGGGTATGGAGGGCAATACTACTTTTTTCATCTTTTTGATTCAGAGATTCACAGAATAGCTCCTATTTGAAGGAATTTTCATCATTGAATCCAGTGTCATGTATGCTTGTGTTGAAGAAGTAAATTTCACAAAATGTGCCTAATTCCTTCTGTGGTGTCACTATTTAATACGGATTAAGGTACCATATTTTGCATTTATACTGGGTTGCACAGCAAGAGTTCACGTCTTCTACTAATATATGCTAAATAGTTGCGTATTCTATAGACCATTGTTGTTAAAATAGCAGTAGTGAAGGCATTTTAGATCACAGAGCCCCAGTGGTCTACATTTTGTTTGCTTTGACGTTATTAAACTCAATCTGTTTCCCTGTGACTCTAATTACTACATTTGCATGGCAGAAAAGTTTGCTTTGTGGGTCGACTTTTATTAACAGTGCTTGCGTGTTATTTTCGGCTCTCGCTCTCGGTGTTTCATGAGCAGACAGAGCACCTTCAGTTGCCTTGAATAATTATGCACAATCAATAAGTTTTTGTGTTTGTCTCTGTTGTTTCTTTGATGTGGCCTCTAGGATGCTGCCGGCAAGGTGCTGGACCGCTGGGCCATCATGTCTCGAGAAGAGGAAATCATCACCCTTCAGCAGTTTCTGCGGTTTGGAGAAACCAAATCCATTGTGGAGCTGATGGCAATTCAGGAGAAAGAAGGGCAGGCCGTAGCTGTACCATCTTCAAAGACAGACTCAGACATAAGGACTTTTATTGAGAGCAATAATCGCACCAGGAGTCCCAGCCTCCTCGCTCACCTAGAGAACAGCAACCCTTCCAGCATTCATCACTTCGAAAACATCCCCAACAGCCTTGCGTTTCTGCTTCCATTCCAGTACATAAACCCCGTCTCAGCCCCACTCCTCGGATTGCCTCCAAACGGGCTACTATTAGAGCAACCAGGACTGAGGCTGCGGGAACCAAGCCTTTCCACCCAGAATGAATATAATGAGAGCAGTGAATCGGAAGTCTCTCCCACACCTTATAAAAACGATCAGACGCCCAATAGAAATGCCCTGACCAGCATTACTAATGTGGAGCCCAAAACCGAGCCAGTCTGTGTGTCCCCCATTCAGAATTCCGCCCCAGTCAGTGATCTGAACAAAACTGAACACCCAAAAAGCTCATTCCGGATTCATCGGATGAGAAGGATGGGGTCAGCCTCTAGGAAAGGAAGAGTGTTCTGTAATGCATGTGGGAAGACATTCTATGACAAAGGTACTCTCAAAATTCATTATAATGCTGTTCACTTGAAGATCAAACATCGATGCACCATCGAAGGTTGCAACATGGTCTTTAGTTCCCTCCGAAGCCGTAATCGCCACAGTGCAAACCCTAACCCTCGCCTTCACATGCCTATGCTAAGGAATAACCGAGACAAAGATTTAATTCGGGCCACATCAGGAGCTGCCACCCCCGTCATAGCAAGTACAAAATCAAATCTCACACTCACAAGCCCTGGCAGGCCCCCAATGGGTTTTACCACTCCCCCACTAGACCCTGTCTTACAGAATCCTCTCCCTAGCCAGCTGGTGTTTTCTGGGCTAAAGACTGTCCAACCAGTTCCTCCATTTTATAGAAGTTTACTCACTCCAGGGGAAATGGTGAGTCCTCCAACCTCCCTCCCAACCAGTCCCATCATTCCAACCAGTGGTACTATAGAGCAGCACCCCCCACCACCCTCTGAGCCAGCAGCGCCAGTAGTGATGATGGCCACTCATGAGCCCAGTGCTGACCTGGCACCCAAAAAGAAGCCCAGGAAGTCCAGCATGCCTGTGAAGATTGAGAAGGAAATTATTGATACCGCTGATGAGTTTGACGATGAAGATGATGACCCCAATGATGGTGGAGCTGTGGTCAACGACATGAGCCATGACAATCATTGCCACTCCCAGGAGGAGATGAGTCCAGGCATGTCTGTGAAGGACTTTTCTAAGCATAGCAGGACCCGGTGCATTTCAAGGACTGAAATAAGAAGGGCCGACAGCATGACTTCTGAGGACCAAGAACCGGAGCGGGACTATGAGAACGAGTCTGAGTCTTCAGAGCCCAAACTAGGAGAGGAATCCATGGAAGGGGATGAGCACCTTCACAGCGAAGTGAGTGAAAAAGTCCTGATGAACAGCGAGAGGCCTGATGAGAACCACAGTGAGCCCTCTCACCAAGACGTCATCAAGGTGAAGGAAGAATTTACAGATCCCACTTACGACATGTTTTACATGAGCCAGTACGGACTGTACAATGGTCGGGGGGCCAGCATGGCAGCCCTACATGAAAGTTTTGCCTCGTCTCTGAATTACGGCAGCCCTCAAAAGTTCTCCCCAGAAGGTGACCTGTGTTCTAGCCCAGACCCCAAAATCTGTTACGTGTGCAAGAAGAGTTTCAAAAGCTCCTACAGCGTGAAGCTTCACTACAGAAACGTTCACTTAAAAGAGATGCATGTCTGCACGGTGGCTGGTTGCAACGCCGCCTTCCCCTCTCGCCGGAGCAGAGACAGGTCAGTAAATCTCCATTGGCTGCTCCTGCTGGGGGTGGAGGGTGCCAGTCATGTCGGCCTTAACGTTAAAAAATCCAACTTAGATGTTTCTGATGCACTGTAAAGACTGTCCACAGTGACCACGTGATAACCAAGCTGCCATGCTCATGAAGGATTGGTGCTTGTTATGATGAAGCATGCAGATCATGTGCCATCTTACCCCGTAATGCACGCCATTGTTCTCTGTGCTCTGTGTGTGTGTGTGTTTGTTTTTCCATGCATCTAGGTGTGAATAAGTTAACTATGTACACAGTTCCCTGCTTCCCCGTGAATCTTCACTTAGAAGCCGCAGCTTCTGTTATTTGTATTTCTGCTTTGCCTTGTGGCTTTTTAATTAAGTCAATATAATATCTTCATACACACATATTTATCCAATATAGAAACAGAAATTTACGGATGGAAAGAACCATAGGTCCAGGACATCGAGACAGCCTGCATCTCTGTAGGTATAACCAGAAATGTTATCATTCTTACATGAGTATTTAGTGTGTCCTTGTATTCTTTAAGAGTCATGAAAATATCAGAAGAAAATGGACCAAAGTAATTGTTAATATGGGGAAATGGTATGACGTTGTGGGTTTCTTTATTTTAACTTCACAATGTCTTTGAGTACATCTCTAAAATATAGACCATCATGGGAATTATGCACAGAAGGAGAGACATGCATCTACGTTTAGGATCAGTTAGAATATGTTATGTCCAGCCTTCAGATGACATCACACCTTAGCTATGTAGCTGCAGCTCTGAAACAGTTGGGCTTAAACAGAAGCAGCTGGTCCTAAACCTACAATGTTCTTTTTCAATCCTAAAGAAAATGTAATATAAATGGAATGTGTCAAGGTGGTCAGTGGTGGGGTAACACAGCTATCTGACACTTGTGGAGATAAGCTTGTGAGCAGATCATTTACATAATACACGAGCCCAACTAGAGTTACACGCCAGTTAGTTCCTCCTGTTGTATCGGATGTGGTTTTTTGGTTTTATGTTGTCTTTCTAAAATATTTTTAGAGAAAATTTTATTACGTGGTAAAAATCAGTATATGTAGAAGAAACAAAATTAACTAGGAAGTTTCCAGATAGCCACCACCCAAATTCTAGTGCTTATCAGTTGGGTAGTGTTCTTTGACAAAGTAATGCATTATAAAAGTACCACTGAAAAGTAGTGACCTGCCTCTAGAATACTCTGTTTTGTCTTCATATTTAGAAGATCAATCTTTTCTAAAATAAAAGTTTAAAAAAAGGGGGCTGGCCCCATGTCCGAGTGGTTAAGTTCACGCGCTCTGCTTCAGCAGCCCAGGGTTTTGCTGGTTCAGATCCTGGGCGTGGACATGGTACTGCTCATCAGGCCATGCTGAGGCAGCGTCCCACATAGCACAACCAGAGGCACTCACAACTAGAATATACAACTATGTTCTGGGGGCTTTAGGGGGAAGAAGAAGAGGGAAAAAAAGAGAAGATTGGTAACAGTTGTTAGCTCAGGTGCCAATCTTTAAAAAAAAAAAAGTTAAAAAAAATTCTCCGTTGTACTGAAATACAAGGGGCTCAATCCATGAAAAGCAAAATTTCTGGGAAAAATAAGTGACTTTCTTTATACAACTCAAAGCATTCACCATCCCCTCTCCCCACTCCCACTTACCTTTTTCTGTAAAAATGGTTTACGGTCACAAAGTTATTTTCAATTCTGAGTTAATCATTGACAGTTCCAGAATACAACAGACAAGAAGCTGTACTTGAATAATAAAATGTAATACTCTACCCAACCCCCCCACCAAGTTTGTGAGTAATATTCATTCTTTTAAATTTGAAATAGTACACTTGTGATAATGAGGTTAATGCGTTGGATTTTTTTTAACAAAAATAAAAGACTCATGAAAACCTGCATAAAATATTTATGGAAATGGAGTGTTTGAAGACAAGCCAAAATTTAGGCTTATTTGCATGAATTCCTATCACAGTTTTAGTTGGTTTGCTGAAAATATTGCAAGTCATAACACTGGAATAAATGATTCTGAGACCAAATGGCTACAACACCCAAGCGTGGTGCTTTCATTTATGTCAAACCACTAGAAAACACAAGCGCTTGTGTTTTTATGTCCTAATGCATAAGGAGGTACTGTTGAAAGGGTGGTTTGTCTGAGGAAAACCATTTATTGATAGAAGGAGAATATTTCAATCTCCATCTTTATTCTGAGGATTAGGAGCTTGGCTCATGACCAGCCATATAGAAGTTCAGACGAGTGTGTAGGATACTCTAGATGGGAAGAATAGTACAGATAGTCTCCCGTGTGTGTTCAAGAGACTGCAAACCTTGGAAGACAGGGGATACATTTCATTTGGGGGAAATACCACATCACACCTAAACTTTTTAATTCTGGAATTTTGTCACATGATAAGCAAATTGAAAAAAACACTTGTACAAAGAAAGTTTTTTGATTCTCACTTGAAATTTTGCTTTTCAAGAAAACTCAGATCTTTTGATTCCAGGTTAAAAACTTAACAGAAACTCTAATACTTTAATTTTGAAATTTTTTTTTCTTAAGAAGAGAAGTGTTCATCCTTGTTGAGGTCCATGACTTGAATTAATATGTGATATAAGTTTAGCCACCTCAAAATAACCAGAAATAGTGATGCCATTGGGGTACCAGCCTCTTCCTGCATCTCAGCAGAGTGGACTCAAACAGAACTGTGCTCCTGTTTCAGCCTGTTATTGTCATTTTATCAACTAATGTCCACCTGTAATTTAATCTCCTTATTCACACAGCCTCTTGGATCTCATCCCTGACCTACCGTCTCGACTTACCTTCCTCTTTCTCTTCACTTTTACTGTATTAGTCATGAGAACCCCAGGAATTTTGTGTCCCTGCTTTTTTCCTCTTCAATTCACTGTGAAGCTAAGACAAATTTTCTTACCTTTCTCTGAGCCAAGAGACCTTCCCAAACAGAAACCTCCTTTGCCTTTAATCCTGCTGTCCTCAGGCCCATTTCTTTCCTCTCCCCAGAGTTTCAATGCATCCATCCTTGACTCTGCAGTGTCTTCCTTGTGCAAATAAAGCATTAGAGGGGATTTTGAGTGGGGGCTGAAGTGTGCAAGGCTACAGGGTTACTAGGACGCCTGCGATAAAGCTAACAGAATAATCCTTTTCCTTCTGTTGATAAAAGCAGCCTTCTTGTCTTCAGGCTTAGAACACCTTACAGGAGTGATGCACAGGTCTTCTTGGGCCTCTTCCAAGGTGGTTGTCTATACGTGAAGGAGTTGGATTTTTGGTTTCCAGATAGGCATGTTAGTAAGATGGAAGTAGAAAGATGTTAAATACTGTGTTTTAGATTTGGCATTTAGTTAACAATGATTTCCAGATCTTTGGTTATGATCTTTCCAGATTTTATAAGATCAAGTGAAGGCTTTTTGAAAAGCAAGAATGTTCTTTGTCTAAAGTCACAAAAAGGGAGAAGAGAGAGAGAGAGTGGGGCACATGTAAGGTTTGTGAGGTCTGAGGATTCCGAGCACAGTGTGGAAGGTATCCTTTTCTATACAGTTGTAAATGCGTGTGAGTTTAATAAAGGCAAAAACAAAGAGGACCATTCCACACTAATGACAAAGAGCAAGCTAATATATGCAAAGTCCAATTCATCTGGTCACTAGGTGGCTATTAGAATAGTTTTTATTCTGAGTTTTAGAAGTGAAATGTAAATTATTTTCTCTGTAAAGAATTCAGATGCTAGAAAGTGATTTGCTAAAGTGTTTAAATGTATACTGGTAACCGTGTAGAGTAATAGTCCTGAAACTCTCTAGACACCTTCCTTTCTTCTTGTTTATCCTTTGACTTTTCTGCTACTAAGATAGTGTTCTGTCAGGGAACAGGAAGCTGACCCTCAGTTTTGAAGTATACATATGAAATACTCTCTGGGAAGAAGAAATTCTAGCTGACTGACCTAGACCCTACCATCTTCATAAAGGAAATTGTCTTGGAAACAATGTCCTTGTCAGAATTACCTGGACCTAGTTTGCCTTTGGTCCTTTCTCATCCTCTGTCTTGAGTTTTGCTCCCCAGGAGGGCTGAGTGGCCGTGGAGTGGCCATGGATCCCTACATATTAAAAGAAACCGTTTATAAATTACATTTGGTTTTTATTCAGGAAAAATCCCAAATAAATAACCTTTTGTCCTCTTCCCTAAAATTCCTTATCATTTGCTAATATGTTAAAATCTATGTATATCAGTTTTAGTGATTGGCAATTTTAAAACTCCCTCAACTATGAAATGAAGTTTTGTGCACAGAAACCGGACGATCTGCACAGAAAGAAAGATTTTTCTCTTTGTTTTTCTTCTTAGATGAGTTTCGCCACCTTTGTTCCTCTTTTCTTCTGAAAGTAGTAGCCATTAATTGCCAAAGTTTCTTTTAAATTTTATCAGAATGGTAAGCATATATGTTTGATCGTCAAGGTAGAGGAAAGGTAATTCAGCCCCACGAATAAATTTAAAAACAAAATAATATTTGCTTTGGGTGATTTATAAATAAATATGAGGCAACCATTGGTGCCAAGTGTGAACCTTCTCTTTGATTGCTAGTTAAATCAGTCCAGATTTAAACATGTAAACTTCTTGATTTGTATAGAGTAAGACATCTGTATTTGGTTTATTAAAACCTGCTGATGTCTCCAGAACTAAATTTGTTCCTATATAGGCCTCTGGGTAGCTGTAGCTAAAAAGCAGAGATGTATAGCTTTTGCTTGTCTGATTACCTGACTTCCAGCCCTGTACAGGTGTGCAGGAATAAATTAACATGAGCTACCTCTGATGAGCCACTGCATACATTAACAACAGAGGTGAAGAAGCGAAAACATGCTACCTGCCTCCTGTTATCACCTTCTCAGCAGCAACATCCATTTTTCCCATCACTCTATGTTTGGAAACTTGTAGAGAACTTTTCTAAAGAGAGAGTTTCAATAAATACAGATGATTTCA